ACTGCTCTGACTCTGTGCAAGTTATTAAAGAATTAGGGGGAACTGGAGGGGAGGGCGAAAGCCAGGCCAGCGCCAAGAGCACGAGGAAAAGCTAATGACAGCCTCTCGGAGTCCATGTAAAATATTGCCACAGAAGAAAAGCTCCAGCGTGGCTGTCTCCCTGTGCCCCTTCCTGAGCCTCGGGGACCATGCGGGGCGTTCCCGGACACGTTTCAGGCTGCTCAATAAGCCTGGAGTCACTGATCTTTGACTCCATGACATCAGCACGTAAACTTGCGTACAAATCTGGTCAGCGAGGCTGTTTCCTGACATTCTGTTTTGCAATGTGGTGAAACAGAAAACAGCCCCATATGTTGAGTCAGAATGGATTTGCCTTCAAACTCCGTTGTGTGCAGGGTTCTTCACTCCTTAGCACTTAAGTTTGCTTCTCTCCAAAGTAGGTACATCACGTCCCACTCACACGACTGACATGAGGATTCAGGTAATTAAGCGCTGAAAGCGTGTGTCCGCGGACAGCGGAGGGCCCTGTAAAGGTTGGTTTCCTCTTTGGCAAAGAGGAAGCGCAGTGTTCCTGGAAGACGTTTCTACCGCTTTTAGCAAAAGCAGGTCACGTGACTCCCCTTTCCTTTCCTTTCCTCCTTTCCTCAGTTTTTAATAGTTATCACCTGTAGGTTCTAAATGAGTTGCCCGTGACAGGCACATGAATGGGGACAGTCCTGGCCTCAAGGAGCATGTCTTCTTGCCGAGGCAGCTGACATGTCACCACAGTACAGGGTGGTGAGTGGTGTCAGAGACCGTGGTTTAGGGACCCAAAGGAGGAAGCCATTCTGGTCCTCAGATTTGAAGGAGAGAAGCTGAGGGGAGGGCCAGGCAAAGCCTCAGAGGAGCAGGACATGTCCTCGGAACACGGAGGGGCGAGCGGAAGGGGAGAGGTGGACGGGAAGGATGGGCTGTTCTGGTCAGAGCAAACAGTGTGAGCAAAGGCTCTGGAGACGGCTGCCTGGTGAGGGGCACGTCTCAGGGAGACTTGCAATGGCTGACAGAGCACGCTCGCAATTGTCTGCTTTGGCAGGGGGTCCTTCGACTTTCAAGTCCCAGAACAGTTCCCCTCAGCCCGAATGCCACTCTAGCCTCATTCTCTCTGCCTGCTTTCGTTCCTCATCAGCGCTTTCCTCCTCCCCCGCCCCCTTGCACAGGACATGGATAGAGTTGCCCACATTCTGCATTTTCTTCTTGTCCAGGGAGACAAGCCCGGAAGCCCTTTTCCTCTTTTGCTGCTAATCTCTCCAAGGAAACAGGGCAACTAAAATAGTAAGTCTGCGGAAGTTATAAGAGTCCCAGATCCTTCGATGCACGTGAGGCCCCTAACCTTTTCCCTCAGAAGCTGGAAGCGCGTGTGCGTCCTGCCCCCGTGCGATTCCTGTCTGGGGGGCTCTCCGTGCCCCTGTTCTCCTGACCCTGCAGCCAGACGGCCGTGGGCCTCCTTGTCTGTGACAGTCCTTCCCAGGACACTGCGCTGAGGAGCAGAAAGGGACAGTAATGACAAGTGCCCTTCTCATGGGACAGTTTGTAGCTTTTAGGAACCCTCACTCCACAGGTTCCTTCTCCCGTTTAAATTTTCACTCACTAAATATTATCTTCACTAAGAGTCGGTAATGATGTGAAAACTATTTCACGCTAACTTTTATTGAAGGATACAAATTGCACATTCGGAATAATGGCTAGTAGGTATAGATAGATAGGCACAGCCACAAAATAAAAATGATAGCAGCTTTGTTTTAGCAGTTGCACATTGGGTAGCGCTTTGTTTTCTAAATTTCCCAGTGAGAAAAATGAGTGTGTATAACTTTTATAGTGGAAAAATAAGATACCGTTTATGTATGTATTCAGTTATTAAAGTAATCCTGAGGCTTTTCTGTTCTAGGTGAAAACTGATTGGAATAAGCTGATGGCTGTAACTTCAGGATATTTATAGAAATTCGTTATGCTTTTAACATTTCCTCCAAGTGATGATCAGAGCTTTAAAAATGAAGTCAGAAATGACCTGATGAGCTCTCTGTTTTAGGAAAATAATGAATTGTGGGCTGGCCTGCTGAGCGTCAGAGGCAGAAACCAAATAGGACCCTTTCTAGGCGTCCAAGAGGAAGGGCTGCCCTTGCGGAGTGAATTGGAGAGGAAGGAGCACGTATGGGAGGCAGGCACTTCCAAGCAGACATGTCCGAAATGAAACTGCTTTTTTGTTTAAAGTATGATTCCCTCTCCACCCAGCAAATTGTCTCCTCCGCCCCTGTTTCCCATGTCAGTGAATGGACCACCCTCCACCCCCTTGCCCAGGACCAAGGCGGACTTCTCCGTCTCCTTAGCGTCACATGCAGCCCATCACCACGTCCTGTTAGTTCCCTTCCCTCAGTGTCCCTGAAACCTGTTTATCTCTGTTCCTTTGTTTACTCTGCCATCGTCTCCTGCCTGAGTTTTTTAAGGAGTTTCCACACTGCTTTCCTTTGCTTTCATGCTTGCTCTCTACCAGACCGTTCTACCAGAGTGATTTTCCAAAACTGAAAACCTGAGTCTGCTGTTCCCTTACCTCAGTGTCTTCTCGGTGCTTTTAGGAAATGGTCCAAACTCTTCTAAGTGGTTTCCAAGACTTTTCCAGAGCTGGACCCTGCCTACTGTTTTAGCTTTGCTTCTCACCAGCTGTAGCAGCTCTTCTCTTGGAATGTCTCTTCATAATCTTCACAGTACTGGTCCCTGTTATTCAGATTTTAGCTTAAGTTACCTAAGGAGAGGTCTTCTCCTCTATAATGAATCATATTAAGTTGCCACCCAGTCAGTGTCACCTCACCCTATCTTAATTTTCTGTGGAGAACTTACCACTATTTAATAATTTTCTTATTTATTCAGTTGTCTAATTACATGTTGCTACCCTTCTACCTATTTTTTCTAATCTACCTTTCAATCTGTTTCCACATTTCTGGAATGGAAGCTCCGTAAGAGCACAACCTTATCTTTTTGGTTCACTCTTATCCCTCCTGACACATGCCAGCACTGAACAAATAATTATTTATACGTTGAATGAATAAATAATTGATCTCCTGGGTACCAATCCCTTCTCTTGTCAGTGTATTTTGCATATTATTTCCATATTGACCTTTTTAAACGTTGATATCACTGTGTCTCTCCCTGACTCAAGAGCGCACATGGATCTTAATTGCCTGTTCCTGTCTGGGCATGCCTCGTACCTCTGTCTCCTTAAGTAGTTGGTGATCACTCCTCTCCCCTAATCTCTCTTGTGTCTGCCATCTTGTGGAATATTTAGTGGACCAAAGAGAAGAGAGAGATGCTGAGCCTATGGGAACCTATATCCCATAAGTTAACAGCAGTTGATCTAGACTGGCAGCTTGTCTTTTGTGGCCCAAGCATATACTTGTATGTCTCACCTCCCTGAGAATCGTGAGGGACAAATTTTGATATTCCCTTTGAGAATTTGTGTATCTTAGAAGAACTGCCTCAGTGTTAGGGCAAAGATGGTGCTTCATGAATACTCTTTCAATCCACGGTGCTTGTAGCATGCCTCTCTTCACAAGGTTTTTGAGTGTGTAGCAGAAATACCAGTATAATGCTGCTTCCCCTTACTGGGCTTTGGCCTTGCTGCTGGACACCAAGCTTTTCCCTTATCTGCCTAGTTATTTTTTTTTTTTTTAGGATGGATCCCTAGAAGTGGGGAAAAAGATAATTCAAGGCCATGTTACCTGGATTAATTACAAGTTGAAAGAAATGTAACCAATTATGTTGGGACTAAAAACATCAGAATCTGACAGACCTGGATTTGAAACCCCGCTCCACTCTGACTAGCTGTGTAACTGTGAACTTGTTGCTTAATTTCTCTGAGCGTGGGTTTCTTGATTCGTGAGGCTGGAACAATCATAATACCTGTCTCATAGGACTATTATGATAATTAAATGAAATAATATGTGAAAATACTTAGCATAGAGCCTGGCACAGTATAAGAAATCAATGTGTTATTTATTGCTAGATCTCAGCTTTTTTATCCACTTCTGTTCTTCCCACACAAATCACTTGTTAAAGGATTTACATCCCATTAATATCATAGTCTACCTCTAAGTGAAAATTTAAAAATGAGGAATTAGCTTGGGAGTGGATTCCATTTTTAATAGTCAGCCCTCTGCAAAAGGACAGCGGTGCTCAGCGTCAGGATGTGGTGAGGAAATGAGCATTTGTAGGAAAAGCATGTAGAGTTGAGACTTCGTACTAAACCCTGGTTATAATAGTAGGTTTCCAAGGTTTTAAAGGACTACAAAGTGGGGTACAAGGAGAAGAAGTGAGTGTTTGATTACAACAGAAGTACGGTAATGTCTTCCTGCAACGGAAAACCATACTTCTGAAGGACTGATTAGAAACATCGCTGTTTTTATACTTGCTTGATCACCTTTGATGCCATCCTTTAAGTCTTAAATAGTTAGTATTCTGCTGTAATGTTGACACTTCGGTGTCAAAATAATAGATTAGAAAAAAAAGATGTAGAAGTGTAAAAATTATGTACAAGTAAAATCTTGGATTGTGAGTAACTTGGTTTGTGAGTGTTCTGCAAGATGAGCAAACATTTCTGTTAGGTTGGTGCAAAGCAATAGCAGTTTTTGCCATTACGAGTATGCTATTACTTTTGCACACCTAATAATACATTTTAACTTGGTAAATGAGTGATGTCTTGCAATTCGAGTAGTTTGTTTCCGGAACGAATTATGCTTGCAAACCAAGGTATTTGTGTATTTTCTTTCAAATAAGAGTTTAGAACTAGTGTATATATTTAGAAGTAATTAAAAAAAATACCCTATGTCACAGAAGATGGGCTGTATATGTTTGCTAGCTTGGTTTTCATTAATAATAGCTAAAATAGTACAACTTTGAAGAAATGGAGTTTGGTAAAAGATTCTTCTGGTTTGTTTTACCCCCAGACAAAGTCTCTGTTTGTGTAATTACAGGGTGTAGGAAAAAACAAGATTATCGACAGATTTCTTCATCTGCTCAATCGACCCCGCGAATATATCCAGCTCCACAGGTAAGAGGAAAAGACCCACAACCACTTAAGTTCTGGTTTAGTTATTTCTTTTTCCCCTGTATAATTTAAATTACTTCCTTAAATGCCCATTTTTTAAACCCATTTTATTTTTGCTCCTCTTGCTCTTATCTCTCCTTAAAAGGTAATACAACCATGCAAAGTTTATTTTTAAAGTGACTAATGCTTTATAAACATGAATTAATAGATATTTTGTGGGCAGAGAGTGATGAACATTATATTCCAGGAGCAGATTTCATCAACAAAAAGGCTCTTAAATTAGAAGAAAAATGTGTAGAGGCTAACTCCACACTAACAGAAAGCTAAAATAGCTCACAAGGAGAAACAATAAATGATATGAATCTCAGGTATGAGATAAGGAACTCAAAAATATGGAAAAAATAAATTATTTGCCTCCTTGCCTTCCTTAAAAACACTTTGTGGATTGTCTTTGTGGATTATCCCAGAATGCTGGTTCAGAGATAGCTTTTAATCAAGTAGATTTTCTAGACATGGATTGTTTTTAGATTGTTATTGTTTTAATCTCAAGAGATAAAAAATAGTGTGCAGTAGAAACAACATTGGATGGAATTACAAAAATTATTTTCTGGTTTGGGTCCTTTCCCTAAATAATGATGTGTTCTTAAAAGAAAATTGTAGGAGAAAAAAGGCATAGTTAATGGACCAAAGAAGAAAGAGAAGAGAACCAAAGTAAAGCTGAAGGATGGTCAAAACCTCCCTCTTGGGATTTACACCTCTGGCTGTGGAGGGTTAACTGGTGCCAGATTGGTCCTATCACAGTAAAGAACTATAAAATGGGACAAAACACCAGGAAAAGAACAACGACCGGGAGGGCTGTGAGCTGACCCGCCGTCAGATCTCCCACATGGTTAGGAGCCTTCAGGAAACACTCCTGGTATTCAGAAGACACCTTATGAAGCCTGTGCTGTAGAACAAGGACCCATCTATCCATAGAATAAGTACTACTACACATACCCTTGCAAAGTTTAAAAATTAGCCTTGAAGAAACAAGGATGCTTGCTACTTAACATTATTTTGGAAGTTTTTCCTCATTCAAAATGACTTTAAAAATTACAGGGATGAGTATCAGGGGGAGACATGCCTTGAAAAGATCAACTTGATTCAAAAGTAAATTACTCCTTAGCTGAACAAACTAATATTGAATGAAGGAAGACTACAAAATCCAGACATTCAACATCAAAGCATTTATAATGTCAAGCACTGAATGGAAAATTACTAGATTTACAAAGAAACATGAAAATTGGTTATAGAAGTAGACTCCAAAATGGTGAACAATGGAATTAGCAGACAAGGACTATAATACAGTGCCGTAAATATGTTCATGCATTTAGAGAGAAAAAACATGAATATAATGAGGGAAGTATTAGGTATTCACCATACGAAATGGCAACCCGAAAAAAGCAGTCTTATATATGAGCAATTGGAAACTCAAAAGAAAGGAGAAAGAATAAAGCAGAAAAATATTTGAAGATATAAATGGTGAGAAAATTCCAAAATTGGATGAAAAGTATAAAGTCACCAATCCAGGAAGCTCAGTGAAACTCAAGCAGGATAGACCGGAAACCATGACAAAGTACTTTATAATCAAATTGTTGACTATTGAAAGAGAAGAATCTTTAAAACTGCTGGAGTAAAAAAGACATACTTTGTACCCCCTTATCCACGGGGGATAAGTTCCAACCCTCAGTGGATGTCTGAAACTGTGAAGCGTACTAAATTCTAAATATACTGTGTATTTTTGCTATATCTACATACCCTATTCACTTAAAGGAGGCATTTTATGACTTCTCTTTGGCAATCCAAGTTGCCAGCATCACTATTCTTACACTTTGGGGCCATTATTAAGTAGCATTAGGGTTATTTGAATACAAGCACTGGATACTGAAAACTGAGATGGCTACTAAGTTACCAACAGCCAGAGAGCATCTGCAATGAGTAGGCTGGACGAAGGGATGATTCACATCGTAGGCGGGATGGAGTAGGACAGCATGCAATTTAAACTTTAAACTTTTTCAACTTGATAGGAGAAATCTGTAAAAAACCTACAACATATTTAATGGTGAAAAACTAAATGCTTTCCTCCTATGACTCTGGAAAAAGCAAGGATATTCAGCATCGTGCTGGAGGTCCCATCCAGAGTAATAAGGCAAGAGAAAGTAATAAATGGCATACATGCTGACGTGGAAGAAGTAAAACGGTCTCTTTTTAGAGTTGACATGATTGTGTGTATAGGAAATCCTAAGAAATCTACAAAAAAAGAAGAAGAAAAACTCATCAGAGCTATAAGTGAATTGAGCAGCATCATAGGATAAATGGTCAATGTAAAAACTCAAATGGATAATAAGGAAATAAAGTTTTAAAAATACTATTTACAATAACATAAAAACATGAAAAATTTAATAGCATATGTGCAAATTTTATCTAAGGTCATCTCAGCTTCCGTAGGTCACCTCCATAGTTTCAGAAAATTTCTAGCCTATTCCCTTATCTTCTCATGGTTTTTCATTGTATTAATGATGCCTTATAAAACCTAGTAGTTTCAACTTTTTTTTTTTTTTTAAGAATTTACTATGTCAAGATTATAGGGCTAAGTATTACGGGAGATATAAGAAACATAATCTCTATTTAAGGAGCTGTAAAAAACTTCTTGATTGTAATTATTTTCATCTTTCATGTTCATTAAATCTGAAAAACTCTTCCTTTTTTCTCTCACCTTTAAACTTTTCCGCCGGTTTTTCTTCCTACATGGACGAAGTTTGGGGAAAATAATGAAAGAATCAAAATATGTAAATAGTTTGCTAGTTCTCACCTGAATAACTTATTTGTAAAATATCATATATCTCCAGTTTTTGAGCCAGAAGGCACAGGGCAAGATGCATATTTTACATTTTAAGGATGACTCGGTGAGCGCTGCAGTTGTTCAGTATATGTGCTGCTGAAATGAGCACTGCAGTTGTCCTCCTCAGGAGAATTTGTGCTGTTTTATTTCATTTGCATTGTGTTTAGTTTTTAGTGTTTAATGGTGTTCTTAAAAATACATAATTACTTGAAAGTTTTAATGAATATATATACTGATGTACCTTAAGTGTATAATGTTAATTTAGAGCAAAACCAAATGAATTTAAATTTTATATTTTAAAAGACTCAAGCAGAAAACCAGTTTCCTCTTAAGAGTGACTTCAGAAGTTGACATCAGCTCTCAAATGTATGCCCCAGAAAGAAGGACGTCACTTTATATAAGAGTCCCTTTGTATAGTGGGGCCATTTTTCCATTCCTTTGTATCGGACAACAATATATTTTTAAAGAAAGATATATTAGGCTCGACTACCTCAGTCAGTTCTGATTATAGATTATGGAGGTTTGTAAAACAATCAGCAAAAAAGGAGGCAAAGAAATTAAATTGGTATTTATAATTATTCCTGGGTGTGTGTTACCATCACGCTCATGCACAGACAGGCCTTTTGCTTATGATTCATTATCTCTAATAGTTAGTTATAAAGAGTTTTGATGCATCTCATTTTTCTGGGAATTATTCCTTCTCTTCTAGTTATTGGTATAAAGTTGTTTGTAATATATTTTAATGGGCTTAGGCTCAGTCAATGATATCTTCATGATTATTCCTACTTTTGGTTCTTTGCCTTCTCTCTCATTTTCACATGATCAGCTTTGCCAGGAGATTATCAGTATTATTGGGTCTGTTCAAGGAACCGACTTTTTCATTGTTAAATATCTCTTTTGTGTTTTTCTTTTCTATTTCAATAATTTCTGATTTTATCTGTATCAGACCCTCCCTTTTGTTTTCTTTGGGTTGAATGTGTTGTTCTTTAGTAAACTTTTTTTCTTTTTTCATATAAATGCTTAAATCATTGATTTTCAACCTTCAATTTATATGTGTGTTTGAGGCTATCTCTCTTTGGATCTCAGTGTTTTCATCTCTAAGTAAGAGGAATAAATAGGGTCATTTCTAGTATATTTTTTATCTCTACATTCTAATATCTTTCTCTTTTTTTAATGTTTATTGGGGTGACAATTATTAGTAAAGTTACATAGGTTTCAGGTGTACATATTTTAATGTCTTTCAACAGGCCAGAAGAAGGCCGTATTCAACATGATTTTAAAAATTTAGATTAGAGATTCCACCCTGTACTTCCTGCCTGGACTGTCTTTTACACCAACCTTTGGTTGTGAAGTAACCCATGATCTATAAATAGCAAAACAGTAGATACTGCTTGTTTATGTTTGTGGTGATCCTGACATTGGTTACATAAATGTGTAGATATATTATCTGTGGATTTCTAAGTTCAAAATGTAATAAAATTTCAAAGCCATATGTTTATACAATTTTTGTTATAACACCCATTGCTATATTATTGATTGATGATAGTATTACCAAAAAAAAAAATCCATTCACTTAACAGGGGCCGTAGGTATCTCTATTTGGCAATATTTGATATTTTGTAAAGTTGGAAGTAAAAAGCCTCCATTTCTGTTTAAAATATGTCATGTTAATGAATTTTTATTAATTACATGGAATTCCCATTAATGTCAATGTGAAGAGTTCTTTCTTTATTATATATGCCATTAGGGCTGTATTTGCCATAAAATTTAAGCTATAAAATTGCTTTAGAGAAACATAGTTTTAAAGAGCTAAAAATAGCAGTCGAAAAAAATGTTTAGACTTCTCTGATCAATGGGTGAACTACTTAAGGTCTTTATTTATTTTAGATTCTTTTTAATGGATTTGTGATGTTGCCATCTAAATAATCAGCCACACTCATTTTAGTTTATGGATATCATTCCAACAAAATTAGTTATGAGCCATTAAAAACATAATCTTGATAAGTAAAAGCATCATCAAACATACATGAATGGCCATCTTATAATTATCAGATCTCATGAAATAAGCAAGCTGGGCAGTTCATGTCTTTAACTGAAATCAAGATGTTGTCCTAAGGGTATTATTTAGGTAATTTAAAAGATTAATGGACATCATTACTTTTGATGTTACATATTTCAGGCAGAAGAGACTGCATGGCTCACACCTGTGAACCGCATCTAGTTACTTTTTGTTCCACAATATTATGTTAGTTTGACATTAAAGAGGACACTTAGTATATCAACTTCTGGAGCTGTATTTCCTCCTTGGATAAAAGTACACTTCTGTATTAAAATTGGAACTACCTTAGGGTTTTGAAATCCTCATGATACCAGTTTTTTTTGTTTTTTTCATTTGCTGCTCCTCGTGTATGGAGATGCAGGCACAGGTTCAATCATTAGCATGACCGGTGCTCTTGGTTACTCTCCTAACAGGGGTGCCCATTGTAAATACAGTGTTCTCAGGTCCCCCAGTATAATCCCAACTTTCAGAGGGGTTTTCCTTGGGTCTGCTCAGTGTATTCCAGACTGAACCATTCTCTGTCCTGCTCACAAGTTATGAACTTGTATTCATGCCTGTCTTTATCCTTGCATCTAAAACGCACTCTACTTCTCCCCTAATCCTTTATGATTTGGTCCATCGTTATTTCTGTATGGACTCTTTTCTGATTTGTTTTTCTGGGTGTAACTGTTCCCTTTTCTGAAACTCCATAGGACTGAATTTGTGACTAAGATAAAAAGAACATGGATTTTAGACATTAAGTTGTGTCTTCACTATTAACTTACGTGTGGCCCTGAACTCCTTGAGAACTAATTTCCTTACCTATCAAATTGAAATAATACCCTGCAGGGTAATTGTGAAAACTGAATGAGACTGTGTGCAAAGGACCAACCACAGTATCTGGCACATTTTAGGCACCTAAATTTTTAGGCAGACTAGTAAATACTGGTTTCCTGCTACATACCCCACTTTCTCGTCTCACTCTGATTCGCATGTATCAGTAGTTCATTTCTATATCTTATTTCCCTCCTCTCACCCCTTCTCTTCCCCCAGTCCTGCCTCCCCAACTAAATAGTGAGCTTTTTGAGGGCAAGGAGTCTTGGTTTATTTTTTATGTATTAGTTATTCATCTAATTTAGTGGATTCCTGTTGCTTGCCAGTAGCCGTTTTAGGCACGGATAATGTACAGATGATGACCTTAATCTTGACTTAGAGGTGCTTGCTGACTTTCCAGCATTTCTGACACAGTGTTGGATATCGGCTATGAAAGCTGTGGGAACCTAGCGGAGAGGTGCCCAGCCCCGAGTGTGTGTATGTGATATGGCAGGAGATGTCTGCAGAAGGTGGCACGCACACTGAGCCTTACGGGATAAACAGGAGTTTTCTCAGTGCAGAACAGAGCAAGGGGCGTTATGCTTATTAAACAAAAGGCCGGCTGAAAACCAGGAAGGGAGAGGCAGCCGCTGTAGCGTGGGCTGTATATGCAGAGAGGAACTGGAGGCCGGAAGATGGGAGCTTCGTAGGGCTTCATGACGCTGGGCTTTGTCCCGAATGCAGTGTGATGGAGTTAAAGCGAGAAAGGCCGTGAGGACCACGGTCTGCAGGTAGATCAGAGCCAGATGGGACTTGAATCGCAGAGAACACTAGGCGGTGCTCGCAGTAATCCAGATAAAATGGTTGGGGCTGAAGGAACATACTGGCAGTGAGAATGGAAAGAAAGGATTTATTTGAAATAGGTTTAACTGGCTAATTTTAGAAGCCTTGGTAACTGCATGGAGGATGAGGGGGAAAGAGAACAGTAACTTTCTTACATATAGCCTGCCCATCATGAGGCGGGTTCTGTGATTCCCAGTGCGTGTGTGTTGAAATGACTCAGTGTGTGCTAATTCCATCTGGACTTTCGGGCTCAAGCTCCGCTCTGATCAGCCCTCCCTGCCAGAGGCACTGATGGTTGTTTTGGAATTAAGGAAGATCCCTTATTGACTTAGGTATGACCTGTGGCTGCATTATTTAAGTGCTCTACCCCCTGGGATGGTTACAGTACTGCATTAGATAGATAAATGGTCATGGTTAAAACACTTGCTTTTCCTCTTTCATATTTTTATATACTTTTTCTTTGTGAAATCAAATGAGGTAAACTGAAGTGTAGAACGGTAGCATTGACCCTCTTCCAATCAAATACCCTGGAGTAAAGGATGACATACTTGAGCAAACCTGTAAGCCTAATTCAACCTGTAAGGCTTTCCTCAGGCTGAAGAAAACCGAGTGTGACACTGTAAATTTTGAAATCCACAGAGTCCCAGTGGAAACTAGACAAACTAAAAGCTTTTCTGAAGTCTCAGGAAAGAAAATTGTTATTGAGCCATCAGGACATTCTTGTAGCACTGGTAAGAGCAGTGAGAACTAGCGGCCTTCTGCCTCGCCTTCCCCATTACGAATTTGGAAAAGCTGGACAGCGGTTTCCCCACTAAGAATGCCGTCTGCTTGCCCGTGTTTTACAAAATGAGCTACGCCAGCACCTCGAACTTTTCCGTGGAGCTCTTTAGGTTTGTAATAGTTCTTGACTCTCCTCTGGATGACCCCCCCAAATCCCTTTTAAGTTCCTGTATTATTTTTGTTTATTTAACAAGCACGTACATAGCAGCTATTCTGTGCTGGGCGCTGTTCTAAACTGTTTCCAAGTTGTAACGCAGCCCTGCTCACTACAACTCTATATGAGATGAGGACCGTGACCACTTCTGTTTCTCAGGGGTGGACACTGAGGCACAGAGAGGTTAAACAGCTTGCCTGAGGTCACACAGCTGGCTTCATACAGCCTGGTTTCAGCTCTGCCCTACCCACGGCACACGGTGCTGCTTGGTTGTGCTGATCGAATAGTATTTTAGTGACGACAGTACTTCAGATAGTACGTCACTAAAGTGCTAGCCGTGGGGTAAGACTGTTGGCCAGTCAGTTCTTACGTTCTGTATTTCAGTCTATAGATAATAGCTTGACTTTCAAATCCTAGCATCATATTTCCCATCCTTGCCCAGGTTAACTTTCCTTTGGCCAGGTAGCCCCTAGTTTTGCCTTTTTCAATAGTAATATCCTGATTAAATTTCATTTTCTGTTTTCTTGACCACTTCTCCAGATTATTACACTTCCTTTGGCTCGTCCTCACACATCCCCTGAGGTTTGTTATCGGTACATTGAATAGCTCTGTTGTCTGTTCCATCACCCAGGTAACGCATAGAAACACGAAGCAAAGCGTTTCCTGTGGCCTTTGATGTGGGGTCGCTCCCAGGCTTCAGTTCTCAGTGCACCCACTGAGTAGTTGTGGGGTGTCCGACGCCAGAACCCCGAAGCTGGAGAGACCAGCAAGCAGCCTGCGCTAGGCTGTTTGGGAACGGGGAGGATTCCAGGAGACTCTTTTTCATCTTTATTTCCTAAATCACAAGCTAAACAAGCTTGAGAACCCCTGACGCGGTGTGTATTTTTTGTTGTTTTTAGTTTTGTTAATATCCCTTGCCGCTAGAGAATAGCTACATTTTTTCAAGTATTACGTATTTTTTTTTAGTTTGAGAAAAACTTTAAAAATCCAAAAAATGTAAATCAAAATACATAACACATACCCAAATTTGTCACGCCGAGCTAACCACTGTTACTATTTTTTCAAATTTGATGCTACTCTTCCTTCAGAAATAAAACACGACTTATCGTGATAGCCGAAGTTCCCTCTACCCACTGCTCAATCTCATCTCCCCTTCTCCAGGTCGCTCACTGCTATCAACTGAGTTTGTAGACATTCAGTCTTTTGTTTTGTCTTGTTTTTTTAACTTGTAATGCAAATTTTTTGTTGAGAAAATTATTTCGCACTGACTTCCATGATAAAATCAGTGCCATTCTGAAGGGTGGAGGGGTTTTCAAAGTCTTCATCTTTAGTTGTAATAAAAATAAACTGAACCTTACAGTTGTCTCAAGCCCACGCTGTGCCTCAGGCTCGGGGCCTCCCCCATCCGCATCACTTTCACATGTCTCCCAGCATCCCTGGGCAAACAGAGAGAGTGAGGAAGTATCTGGGCCAGTGCCATGTACTTCCCAACAGTCTTTTTATTCATTAACACCTAATTTGTTGTTGTTGTTGAGCTTTAGAAGCTTCTGTTCCTCGTTAAGTGAGACACACGGCTGTAGGCAGGCTCTTCGGGTGTTGGCAGCAGTGGCATGAGCAGAAGGCGGTGGGGTGAGGTGTTTAAACTTGGTGAGCAGGTTTGTGTCTCACTGGGGTCTCCCGGTTCACAGCTCCGTTAGGTAGACTGAGGTACAGCTGTAATGTCCGGCGCAAGAAGAATTCAGAGCACTGCTGAAAAGTCTAGGAATTGTGCCTACAGTTAACTTCTTTCATTCATCCAAATGGTAACATGTCTAGGTCGTGTCGTCTAGAAGCAGAGCCAGAGATGGAAATGCCTGTGTGACTTTAGAGGGAGAGCTTTTAGCTGAGACTTGAGAGAAGTGCAGGAGTTCAGGGAAGCCTGGCCTCAGGCTCTTCACAGAAGCCTGGAGCCTGAATGGCAAGACTCAGTTATCCCACCTGGAGCAAGACGGACAGCCTTTCTGCTCCCATATCATTACGGCATTGGCTAAGGGCCGCCCCCCAGTGGAGGGGTGAGGGGGAACCTCTAACCTCCCAGGCACTTCTGGGTGAGGTAGTTCCCATTGGTGGAGGGCAGTTCTCCGGAGCAGGGTGCAGCTGTGAGCTTTCAGAAGCCAACGCTGGGGGCTCCTGGGGGGACGGGTGCAGTTGCTAGGGGACGGGTGCGTATTGTGGTCCAGGACATCTGGGAGGGGCCCCAACAGCATCTGCAACACCTTTATCAGCTCCCTGAGTATACAGCCCCAGCACCTTGAGAAAAACGGCGACGAACACGACAGACAAGGTCGTTCCTGTCCTAAAGCTCTCTTTCTGGCATAATGAGGAGATGTGCAACAGCCACTTCAATAAACAGGAAACATCACATAATAGAAATGGTATAAAGGTATTTACGGGGTCCTGAGATGGCGAGTACAGGGGAGACTTGTTGGGGCATAGATCTCAGAGACGTGGGTGAGTTTAGCAGCCATGACTATCTTCCTAATTGTCGTGGGATTTGCAGCAAGACGGTCTGGCATTTCAGCATCTCTGTCTGTCCTGGAGACCCGGTGGATGGGATGGCCCAGTGTAGGATGGATCCGTAAAGCATTACCGATTTCAGGGACTAGAGGGCTGTAAGGACTTGGCTAGTGATGGTTTGGAATAGGACGGCCGCCAACAGCTGAACATTTGAGTGACACTGATAGACAGTAGCCTGTTTCCAGTCTTTTGCGTCTATAAACATGCCCTTGTTTTTAGGTTTCATCTATGTATTAAGTACTTCCTTTTTTTTCTTTTAGGGGTGGTTTTGGAGATTTTCTGGATGACCTTAAATAAATAGCACTAATACCTAAACTCAAATGACAGAATAGGTCAAATGAACCACACCCTCAGATTCATCCTGAGAGAGCAGAAGGGATTGCCCAGAAGGAAAGAGAACTTTTCAGTCCCAAGATGTCATAGCTGTTTTATGTCTTAAAAAGGTGTGGTTGTTGAGATGCCCACCAGCAAAAGCTAAAAAGGCTGCACATGGCACCTTTCCAGCGTCGTTCCGGAGGCTCTCCACAGTGGATATCCTGCCAGGGTTCATAAAGCACGGAGAACAGTTGCTATTGTAAACCACTCATTTATTTAATTTTGGGTTCAAGAAATGTAATAGGCACCAGAAAAGACAGCCAGATGCTGACTTTGCTCTGTGCAGCGTCAGCTGTCTCCAGCTCACCGCCGTTTCTAGAAGGTGTGGGCTCTGGGCAACTGGGTGTATTCTGGGATAGCTGACACGTTCAACTTTATATTTTAATCTGCATTCCGTTCTTCTATTCCTGTTTTAAAAAACTGATTAGAAAATATTTTTTTAATAGGGGAAAAGGAAAATAATCTGCACACCGTTTTTCTTTCTTCTTTTTGTCGGGGAAAGGATAAATGAAGTTTCTACAAAGAAATTAAGTCATTTTGAGTCCCTAAAATTTACCAGGCCAGAAAGCTAGTTTTCAGAGTAAAGACAATAGATCAGTTTTTTAATATACCATTTTAGTAGACGTGTTTTTCTTATTTTTTAAAGACTAGACAATTTACAAGACTTTCAGAGTTTGTTAAGAGACTTGACAATCAGCATGGCTTTGAATTTTTTTTTAAATAATGTCAAAATAGTATTAGGAGATGTGGTAAAGGCAAGTAGATTTTGAAAACTGAGTGTGTGGAAATGTTTAGCTTCCATCAGATGACTGTTTTGCTGTGGCTGTTTCTGCCTTCTCTTCCCAGCAGGAACTACCCCTGAAGAGCAAAAGGGCATCACAGCAGACTTCCTCCATAAGCATCGTCCCTTCACTGTCCTCCTTCCTTCTGTGGTGTGTTAGGATATTTTGCATCTGGACATATTAGTGATGAGTGATTGATTACTCCATGAACTATTTGTCCTCCAAAACAACTATTTTAAGAGCTGGAGTCCTTCCAGTCACTTTGGCAGAAGTAATATTTGGCTTATCTTACTAAAAGGACTTTTCCCTCAAAGCATTCAGAGCACATATAATAATACTATTTTTCATTCCACTTTTTTCTTCCTTCCTTGTTACTCTACTATACTTCTTATATTCTATTTTAATTCCCTCTGTAGAGATGAGTGATCTTGGCTTCAAGAAGTTAAGAGATTGCCCAAGCTAGGAGGACTCAGATTTAGGCCAGAGCTGTTTTTTAACTCTCACTGCAGTCATCACAGCTAATTTGCGCCTTCCTTATTTTGTGTTGGATACCAGTACTGCTTAGAATAATGCCTGTTTCTGTCTAAGGGCCTAGGGAAATTTGTTTCCCAACATGGCAAAATAATTTGTCTTTTATAGGCAGGAGTAGGAAGGTGGTCTGCTTCTGTTCAGCAGAGCTCAGAATGTTTGCAAACGGTTAATTCTCACATTTGTATGCATCGCCTCTAAGTACCACTCTCTGTTTCATTAGTGATAATTATTATTAGTGTTCCTTACCTTTACTTCATGAGTTATTTTAAAATAAGCCTTGTGGAAATGATATTCTTGATGCTGCCATGAACAACTTCTTCACTTGAAAATGTCTTTCAACAACATTTATTTCTCAGTAATGCTATGCTTATATCTCATTTGCAAAAATGACCACTTCATTGTATTTTCATAATCATCCCTCTTTTTAAAATATGGAGCAGATATTTGTTAAGTGCC